AAGCACGAAGCTTAGTGAGTTCCCCAAAATACCACACATAGCACATATTAGCCACTCGAGGCTATAACTCTATGGGTCCGTGCACCCAAACTCTGTGAACCCTCAGGTTCTAACTCTAGGAACCTTCCGGTTCCAACTCTATAAACATGCACATCATAAATCACATAGAAATAATGCAGTACAACACATCACGTACATATATCATACAAATACTCTGATCATATAACTCTGGTTAGCTACTCAAGGTAAAGTATAGTGAGAAGACTCACCTGGCAAATAGAAAGCAGATATCCCCACACTTCAATCTCGAACCCGCCACCACCTAACACGTAAGGAAAATACTTTCATGAATATAACTCTCGAGACTAGAATCAACCCTATCATGGCACCCTCTTAAGGGTAAAAGACTATTTTATCCCTCTCTTGGCCCAAAGGCCACATCGCTGACCAATCCCTAAAAGTCAACGGTCAACTCTTGGTCCAAGTCAAAGTCCTCCGTCAAAGTCAACCCTCCTAGTTGACCCTGCTCGCCGAGTCAACCCGTCGAATCGTCGAGTCCCCGTGCTCAGAACTTCCCCAATCCGCGACTCAACTCGCCGTGTCACCCCGAGACTCGCCGAGTCCCACAACTCTAAGTCCACTCGGACACAACTCACCGAGTCATCCCTTGACTCGCCGATTCTCGATTCAACCAGAAAATATTTGGGACTCTTCGACAAGACTCGTCGAGTCCAAGAACAGACTCGCTGAGTCTACGGCTATCTTCAACCTACTCGCCGAGTTGTTCATACAACTCGTCGAGTTCCAGGCCATCTTCATCCAACTCGACGAGTCCACCCATGTGACTCGCTGAGTACCACCGGTCTGAATACATTCAAAAGCATTCCAGGCCATGCAACTGCTCCAAAGCATAGATCTACTCTCCTACCACTCATCCATCACGTAAAGTTGCAAACTTTACGTGAATCCAAAGAGATCTAAGCCGTTTGCACATTGGGCTAGGGTTTGGGACATGTAAGCTTCACTAAACACTCCAACACAGGGACTTTCATGCTCTCTGATTCTTCTCCCTTCCAGATCTGAGGTAGCAACCTCAGGTCTAGCCTCTAGACTTCCCATTACATCCCTAGACAAATTCCCACAACCCCAAAATGAAGAAACCACATAACAACAGTCCAATAATGAGATATTACCTCTAAGAGATGCCCCAACCGCAATGTAATTCGAATCCAAGCAAAGCCCCTTGCTCCAAGCCTTCAATCTCCCAAAATTCCTTAAACAATTACTTCTCCGAGCTCTAATCCACTGAACAATGGTGCTTCTCCATGATTTAGGGTTTTCTAGGGCTCAAGGGGTGATAAAGAGGCTGGGAGGAAAACATAATGATCTTTATATAAGGATCAACCCCGGGAATTAGGGTTTTCTCCACTCAGCGCCTACTCGCCGAGTCCATTACACTGACTCGCCGAGTCGGTCACTTAACACGCGACCAAGTCGCGACTCTACTCGCCGAGTCCGCACATGGACTCGCCGAGTCACTCTTTCCCAATCTACTCTTTTAGCCCTTTAACTCTACTCTTGATATTTCAGGATGTTACAAGCCACCTGTCCTTGACAAACCTGAAAAGGTAGAAGATATTGTTAGTGATCTATCCCCATGACCATAGGTAAAAAAAGCGCCCCTTCTCCTCCAAGAGAATGGATCAAAAAGACTCAACCCTTTCATTTTTACCCAACCTTTCTTAACCTTCTCTCTAAGAAAACATCTGACTTGATCGCCAAAGCCTCATTCCAGGATCTTGTTTTCATTGCTGTGATTCTCAGGTCTTCATTATATTCACCAAAGAGATGGAATCCGATCGTTGACATATTACACTAGTTGGCGCCATCCGGACATGCACCCAGTACGACATAACCGAATTCTCCAGATCAAGCACCGAAAATAACGGATAAAGGAATGATACAGCATGAAGGTGGAAACTATAGCCCATTTAGATGAATGCAATCCCTCGATGGAAGCATCTCATCGACACTGGACGGACAACCTCCCACATAGACACCGATTGCGCCATCGGTCGAACCCACGGTGAAGTTCATTGCTAGTCTATGGTGACCGCTTCCCTTCGTAACAGAACATCCAACCATGACTACCACCACAAGACCCCAAAGAGCGCCACCACCCAATCACAATAAACATCAGATCGAACAAAGCCATTGGCGTGACTGGCGGGGGACCAACGCTTCGTCCCCTATCACCATTCTATCAGCCGCGTCACTTGCAGGACACCAATATTCCTTAATGGTCACCATCTCACATATCGCACTATTTGCACAACAATCACCATTCAACCTATATACATACCACTACTTGGGTGTGTATCCTCAAATACAACCACAGACCCACAACATTAAAAGCACACCAAGACACGACATGAATGCACATACGATGGGGATAACAGAACCAATTTCACATCCAAATCAACTAATGAATGCGTACCCTAGGGGTGAGTATCAAAATCGGGCATCGGCTACCGAAACAGGAATCGTGTTCGAATGGTCGTTTTAATTGAAATTATGTTAAATAAATATCAATTTCACCCAATATTGTTTCGCTTCATGATTTACGTAATACAAACCCTTGCATCTAATCTCCTCCCACAATGAAAATAGAAGAAACTAAAACATTAGAATTGACACTTGGAATGAATTCAATCAGTACACTTCCTTGGTCATGAACTCATGTTAGAATTTGAAGTCCATGTCCATTGGTAGGTTTGTAAAACAAAAAAAAATTATTTAATTGTAACAATTAAACATAAAATATTATCATTAATGTATTTATAAATTTATGAATGTGTAGAGGTAAAATGAACTAGAACAGATAATTAGTAATTGCTAATCCAATTAATATCTAATAATCGATGCAATTTAATTTTTAATAAACTGATATCCAAAATTCTATCATTAGCACATTAAAGGCCGGTGAACTGAAGCAAAATTAGTAGAATAATTGATGATTTCTAAAGGAAAAGTAGTAAAAAAAAGATTAAAACAACCAGGTACCAGATACTGGAACCGGATCCATTAGTTCTGGTTCAGGTTCTTACATTCCAAGAACCGTGTCTTTTGGATCTAGCTCCGGTTCCAGAAAATATGGGTGGGTACCGGCCTATTTTCACCCCTAGCGTACCCCACCTAGGCATCGTATATGCCTCAAGCAGCCATGTACAACCACGGGTGCTATTATGAGTATAGCCAAGGGTATAACAACCCATATCATGTGGAGCATGCGATGGCCAGCTGAGCACCCATCTACCCACATAAAAACAACCCTGTGATGAGCATCAGCTCGATGTTATATCAAGAGCTATTTCAATATAAAATACCAAATTCCGCCATGATACCAAACATCCAAAAGTATGATGCCATGACAGATCCTGACGAATAGATAGACACCAGGAGTGGACAATGACTTCCCTTCGGATGGACAAGAGATTCTCCTGCACCTACTTCCCGGGTACGCTATTAGGAAATGCTAGCATGTGGTTCAAGGCACTATGTCCGGGAAGTATCTCCAGCTACGAATAGTTTAGGTACCTTTTTCCTCCACAACTTCATGTAATTAAGGAAAGTCAATGGAGATGCCAACCCCATCATGGCATGCAAGAAAAAGAGGGATTATCCATCCGAGCGTACTTTGATTGGTTTACCCTGGCGACCCTAAGCATTCTTGGGCACAAAGAATTTCTAGTTACGGGCGCCATCGCCGAAGGGCTACCCCCGGCCCCCTATCAAGGAAAATGCAAGGAATAGTGCGAAAATCTAGGGACAAGCTCAAATACAGGGTCCAAAAATACCTCAATCATATTGAGGGAGAAGAACGCAAATAAGCGAATCTAAATGCCGTAGCGAACACCTACCTCGAAGAAGAGTCAGTCGGCTCGCACTTCCACCGTAGCCACAAGGAGCGCAATGATGGAAGCAAATATAAACATAACATACATTTGAGACAGTCATCTCATAGATTCCACCCATTCGTCAAGAATGAGCCGAAGAGCCATAAGATGGAAGCACACTCGATAGAAAATACCTCTTAGTGGATGAAAAAAGAGAAAAGCAAATATTTCAATTAACACAAGAGCAAAACGCATGACACTGGAGAGTGCACGATCCTCAAAAAAGAAGTAGAGGGAGAGAGATTAAGTGGAGACTTAACATAAATCATGATGACTCTACGATCAAAGTTCGAAGCCGAAGGCAAGGATGGGAGAACCCAAAAGTAGGCAAATAAGAAACCAATAAAAAAGGAGTAAATATTCACAATTGCAAGCCCCTGGAACTGAGCCAGGCGTCGATTGCCAGCCAATGGCATCAATAGCTTACCTGGAAATACTCTCAACATAAGTTTCTCATTGGATGACCTACGAGCACCCAACTAGGACCCCATAAATCTAATTATAAACTCAGCTCTCATACAACAACATCAGATCTGGTGAGCGTTGGTCGATCGAGGTAGTAGCACCGACGTCCTCTATGAGAACTGTTTCGAACGACTCCCACCACCCTGAAAGAGAAGCCTAAGACCAGAAACCCGAGTCACACTTGTTGGATTCACATGGAATAAGCTATGGCCACTCGGGACGATATACCTCCCGTTGATTCGAAGGACACGAAAGGGAAATGAGGATAATTGATTTCTCTGTCGTTAAACATAAGTAAGAAGACGATATGATGCTAGGGCGACCTGCTATCCTCCGGCTACAAGCCATCCTTCAACAATACAAGGTATAATAAAGTTCAGAAGAACGAGCGACTCAACGATAGTAACAGTCCTAAGCACACAGGAAAAACCAGTTTAGGCTATCGCTGCTTGGGCTACTACGCATATCCCAAGAAAGCAGCACGGAACAATAGGTAACACCCATAAGGTCAAGTTCAAAAAAACAAATATCCACACCCAAGACAAGAAGAAAGGACACCAATGCTAAATGAATAGCCCGATGAGGAAGGTAGGTTGTGATAGCAACATTATTACCACCCCAGAAACATCAAGGATCGTCATCATGAACTCCAAGCGAGGTTGGAGGTCACTGAGCGTACCTACACGCCTTAGCACATTAGAGAAACAATGCATGGAAAAGAAGGAAATGAAGGAACACACGTGTGAAGTCATATCTCTCGACTGGAAACATAATCAAGGAACCACCAACACTGGAGTAAAAAGGATAGGTAATTTCCCCAAAAAAGAGAACATGGATAGGAGATCACCTAAACCATAAGAGTCCGCAATTAGCAAATGCTTCCCCCAGGACAACACCTAGTCAAGAACCTCACAAAAAATAAAGCGAGCAACAGAAGAGTCACACACAAGAAGGTAAAACCACCCAAAGGTGATTACCAGGCGACCAAAGGTGGAGAATGAAGGATATTGAAAATAATCTTCTTAATGATGACCATCCTATAAACAGCCAATCACGTCTCACACATGAGCACAAAACTTGGGAAGCTCGCATTCATGAGCCACCAAAGGACACAAAGCTAGAAGGGATAAGAAGAAGAATTAGTCCTAATGACATGGGATCCTCAGAGCCCAAACTCTTAACTCGAGGGGAATCAATGGAAGGGGCCAAGTGATCAAACTCCTAATGGATAATGACGCCCTGACTAGTCAGTCCTAGAGCTAGACCTATAGTAGCAAAAACTATAGAACTACCAATACTTATCTAACAATGTAGATGTCTCCAAGGCACGAAAAAATACACAATGAAAAGATAATCTGTAGCAAACGAGTATCGACATACTTTTCGTACAAATGGCAAATAAAAATTGGCTGATCTCCCATAGTATCCAACAAAAAATCATTGAGAGAAATAAAATCATATGCCTCAATGGATCATCACTCCTCCCTAATAAACATTCAGACGAGGTCAGGAGAGTTGAAGCTCCTGATCACGACAAGTAAGAGGCCTTAAAGGATCATAACCTTTCCCAAAAAAATGCATAATGCCTAAGATCTTAGACCTTGAGGTGACGATCTAGGTCTTGCTTAGAAAACTAGGGCTGGAGTACAACTCCCCTTGACCCAAAGCTTAGAGTAAAGCCCGAAAGTGAAGACCTTCGACTAGGATAGACCCCCAACATAACGCACCAGCCATAGTCCACACCAACATGCTAGCTAAAGCCTCGATTCACAGAAACCATCTTAAGGGCGAGCACCGAACTTGTCATAACGGACGCCTTAGACCTCCCAAAACTTCTTAAACGAACGATAGATATCACCAAGACACCCAAAGGACAACATTAACCTCTGGGAGAATCCAAACCAAGGTATGCCAACACAAACCATCTAAGATGACAAAAAAAGGGGGGGGGGAAGAAAAGTGATGAACTAAAAGAAAACTTAACACACAAGAAACAAAAAAAACATATTGGTTAACTCGAACAACCCCCCAAGATTTGAAAACCACCATGCATGGCCAAAGAAGAAAGTTAGACATTGTTTCAAAAAAAAATTACAAAGGACATAAAGATGCAAACATCACCATAAACATCAAACAACAAAAAGGGAAAAATCCATCACTTACTGTGGGGTGGAGGAAGCTCTAACATGAAAAGAGCCACCTTCAAGATGTCCTTCTTTGGAGTCAGGATCATCGCACATCTAGCAAAGGCCCTTATGTCCAGCTCACCCACGCGAAGGTAGGATACAAAGTCCATCTACATGAAAGATTTTATAGCAGCATGCATCACCCGACTATACTCTATAGAAGCATCTGGTTCCCTAGGGATAAAATTTTTGGAAGCAACCTCCTCCCGAATCACTTGTTTTCCATTCCGCACATCCAAATTCACACATTCCATTTATGTCCACTTAACCCCAAACGCGAACTCAACACTCTCGACAACCTTATCGACCACCGGACAATGCCTTTCTGAAGTAACCACCCCAAATCCTCTTCTGCAACCTTCATCCTGGCAATCTCCTCCTCCAAACCCTTAGTAGTGTAATCTTCCTGGCTCTCCATCACTCCCTTCTCCTCCATTAAATCCTTGATTCATTAAGGAAAATGTTCCACCAACCAATCTAAAGCAGTCACCTTGTCCTCCAAATATGTTTCTACTCTGCCAAAAGATCATAGCGCTCCTGGAATGACTGCTTCTCCCTCTTTAACACCAGCAACCTCACTTTCAGTTCATCCCGCTTAGCCTTATTCAAAGAAAGCTCGCTGAAGCTTAAGTCACTTTGAAGAAGGCGAGAGGCAGTTTCCATCATATATGAACCTGTTAGATTAGGTGTGTAAGCCTATAACTATAATTGGTATGTAATTGAATTGATTGAGGCACAATCCTTTTGGATTGCCTTCAAACCTGACAACTGGATATGATAACTTTTAGAGAGAGAAGAATGATTTATTAATTTATTACTTGGTTAATAAATTAATTAAAATCAAAATAAATGATTTATTAATGTATTATGGATATAATATATTAATTAGAAATCATATTGTTTAATTAATATTTAATTGGAAGTTAATTTGGAATTAACTTTGGGATTAAAGGAATTAATTGAACCTACAGAGACTAAAGGTAAAAATGTTCAATAGTTGAGCATTGGGAAATTCTAGAACCTCCCTTTAATAGGGGGAACGAAATATAGATGCTCCTACGGTTTCCTTGGGCTCTAAGGGTTCCTTGGATGTCTTAGAGAGGAATTTAGCGATTAGGGTTATCTTGGATACATCTATCTTATCCAATACCTTCCTAACACATATATAAACCCTCTTTAGGGTTAAATTTTGTTCTAACCCTTCATTCTAAGTGCTCTTGCAGACATTTTGATCTATTCCTCTCTCTCTCTCTATAGTATTCCTTGGTTGCTTAAGTTTGCTTGTGAACCATTAAAGGCGCGACACTTATGACGGTTACTACCAAACGTCTTTCAAGAAAGGAATCAAAATTTTTTACAATAAAAATCTTAAAGGTATGTTTCATTACCCTTTATTATGTGAATTCTGATTATACACTAGGGATCTAGAGTTTATAATTTGTTTTTAATTGTTGTATGTTGAATTAGAAAAAATGTAGATCTTCAATTAGTGTTGCATACACACAAAGGTTTGTATGTTATACTCAAAAACCATTATTCGAACTCGTCGAGTTGTGTCTTTGGACTCGATGTGTTGGACTGTAACTCGGCGAGTTGGTTTGTGCGTCAGATCCTGATTTTGGATTTTCCTCTGCGACTTCATTTATTTGGTTAATATTTTCTAATTATCTTTTATTAAATATGCCATAATCTGATTTTTGGTAATGTTAGATAATTAAATATGACCTACATGTTAGGAGATAATTAAGAATTGGATAATGTTGGTCTTATTTGATTATAATTATCCTTATGGATATGATTTATAATTTAATTCATTGTTTAATTAAAGGATAATTAATATATCCATAATTGGTTAGTAAATAATTAATTTGATTATTAATTAAAGTTTATTTTAGGTTGTTAGAAATTTAAATTAAAATGTTTAATTTTTGAAATTTAAATTGTAAACGTAAATTACATTCTTATGGATTTTATTAATAATTTAATTAAGTGATTAATTAAACGATAATTAATAAATCCATATATGATTAAAGTTAATTAAATTAAAAGTTTAATTTATTAAAAAGTAAACCCTTGAAATTTTAAAATGTTTTAAATTCGCCTTATACTATTTATATAATTAATAGTTTTATATATATATATATATATATATATATATATATATATATATATATATATATATATATTATAAGAAAAGTCAGTCAAATAGCTAATATGCCTCACTGACAAAGCCATAGTATAAGGGGAGTTTAAGGAAGTGGTCTATAAAATGACTGCCATTGGGTATCCATTCTTACCCACCGCTCTCTTCAATGGTGGAGGGTCATTAGTCGAACAGGTTCGATAGCACAAGTAAATCTCATTAATATGTATAATACGATATAAAGTAACTAAAGGATTTTCTAAAATCCCATTCTTAGTTACTTTAGGAAAAATGTGAATATGATGCTAACCCATGAAATTGCATATTGCACCTTATTGGTCGTTGGTGAAGCGTATGTGGTTAACCCGCACACTAATGTGTGACTAATATTGTTGACAATGGGTGTCTCGTATATTATCATTGAATTAATATAGTGCGTATGGTTAACCAGCACATTAATTTCATGTAACATCCTGAGTACAAGTATACCTTATGAACCTTGATCTATTGAGTTGTTGTCTATTTTGGTCCTTATTGTAAAAAGAGTGAAAAACGAGTACGCGGGGCGTACCTGAGGTGTATGCTTAGCGTACTCATCAGCGTGCATGTGACGTGGAGACCACCTAGTATGTTGGGCATACCCGTGAGTACGCTGGGCGTACTAGGCCTAGAGTGCAAACCCTAATTTAGGGTGAGTCCCCTATATAAGGGATATGATGTCCTCATTCCTGGCCACCATTCCAAGAGATAAAGCCCTAAGAGTTCCTTAACCCTCGTTCTAGAGCTTGTATGTGTGTGTTTGAGCATTGAGAGTTTTTGTATGATTTTGAAGAAAAGAGGAGGTCTTGAAAAAGGAAGAGTTGGAGCCCAAACTTCTAGATCCAATCAAATCTAAGTGGGGAGCTTCTTGTTGAGGTATAAAGCTTCAGTCTTTGCCTCTCTTTTGTTATGTGCATCTTATTTGAGTATTCTGGGGTTTTGTCCTTAAAAGATGTAGAATTGATGAGATCTTGAACCCCAAAGACTAGGACCAACCCACTTTGAGCATATGAGTAGTATAATGTCATAAAAATCCAATCTTCGACATTGAAATCACTCCATGTTTGAGTTATGAGCTCCCTTGAGTCAAAAGAGTGTATACTTTGAGGTTCGTGACCTTTTCCGCCATGCAAAGGCTAAAAGTCACTGACATTATGGGTTAGGAGCTATTAGAGAGTCTGGATCTATGAGATGATCCAAGCTCTTAGTTGTTTAAGACAAAAGGAGTGACAATGAGGAAACTCGAAAGTACGTTGGGCGTAAATCTAGTACGCGCAACGTAGGTGTCGCGTAACCCCGATGCCTGCATGGCAGCCGAGTAGACACAAAATACTCACTACCGTTGACTTTTCTTAACTTTTAGGGTTTGGTCAAATTGTGGACTATTAAGCATATGGAGGGGTAAAAATGGTCTTTTACCCTTCTGTGAGAGTAGAAGGGTTAGTCTAGCTTCTTTAGGGCTGATATTAATAAGGGATAATTATTATGTGTTAGTTGGAGGCTAGACCGATGGGTAGAGTTCGAGATTTCGGAGTACGACGTTTTCACTTGCTAGTTTCCGAGGTGAGTCTCCTAACTATACTTACCTTGAGTGGTAACTTATGTGTGACCAGAGGGTCTTATGTGTATGTGTTGTGTATTGATATATACTTGTATTTTTTTTTGTGATATGCTTACTGTGTATTATATTGAGTTACTGAGTTGAGGGACCATATGATCCACCTGAGTTGTGGGACGAGAGGGTCCCCTTGAGACACATCGACTGGAGGGTCCTACCGAGTTATAGCCTCGAGTGGCTAATGTGTTGGATGTGGTATTATGGAGAGCTCACTAAGCTTTATGCTT